GCCACCTTGTGGCTGTTGAAGAAAGTGCTGGGCTTGTTGCTCAGGACCCTGTGTGTGGCTAGGAAGGAAAAGAAGGCATAATGTTAAGTTTGACCTGGGGAGGACATTGGGAGCTTTCCCATTCCGTAGCACAAGGAACTTTCTCTTCCTGCTGGTGGACCTCCAGTTGTCCTCACTATTTCTGCTCTTTTCATGATCCTCATACAGTACATTGACTGACTGGTGACTCCTCATTACCTGACTTCCCTTGCTCTAGTACCAACCTTTTACCGGCCATTTCTCCTCTTCAGTTCTTTCTGCCATTCACAGTGCTATAAAAGTTTCAATCTCTATCTGACTTCTATTCTCTGGCTCTTACTTCTCCAATCATTTGAGATAAAAAACCCCACACTAGACAAATTCTACTTACTCCTTTTTTTCTACTTTATAAACTCTCTTTAGAGTTCAGATGCCTAGAGTGCTGTTACCCTGTTAGGGAGGAATAGCCACTCCTAAGATTTAATAAGAATCAGTTTACCTGAAAATGACAACATACAAATGAAGTATTCCTGGATATTGAATAAAATAATAAATATAGTTAACGGAAAATTGAAGGGTTGGTAGAAATCATTTTTGATATGACTTGTATGAAAGATTTACTTCCTAATGTGTGAGAAATTTACATAAGGAAAGAAAAGAAGCTACAGTCTGTCCAGTTATTGGAGTAACAACTATATGTAAAAGAGAATAAACCTGAGATTTATAAGTTGATACAGAATGAACCTCAGTGTTGTTAAGTAAGTAGATTTAAAAAAAGCAATAAATATAAAATGTCTTATTTTTTCAAGATAGTAGGAGTTAAGGGACAACAAATAACGTGTGAACTTTCTTCCATAAAATGTTATTCTCAAAACAAATATACATGGGAAAATCATGTGAGGGATCATGTGCAATATGTGGATGAGGATCCCATGTCACATTTCATACTACACACAGGGATTTTCATGTGAGCTAGCATTGTCTGTACAAAATATGTTAATTCTGAGATTCAGTCTTCCTGATGTAGATGAAGGATTTTCTCTTTTGCCTGGTACCACAGCCACTTCCAAATAATCACTCAGAGACTTACATTAATTATAAATGTTTGTCCAATAACTCAGGCTTATTATTAGCTAGCTCCTATGTTTAAATTAATCATTTTTTTTAGTCTATAGTTTGCTGCTTGGTTCGTGGTTTATTACCTTATTTACATGTCTTTCTTCCTCAGGGTAGTCTGGATGCTCCCAAATTCTGCCCTTCTTCTCTTGTATCTCTGCTTGAATTTCCTACCTGGCTCTATCCTCCTTTGCTCTGAACCAAATCACCTTTATTTATTAATCAATACCTAGAGCAACACATAGTCACAGCATACAGAAATATATTCCACAGCATATCTGCTTTTCTCTATAATCAAAAAGAAGGGCTTTAACTTTAACATAGTAAAACTAAATATAAAAAATAGTTATCAAGTAAAAATTGCAGTTACAATTTCTAGTCTATTTGTATTTAGCAAAATTAAATAAAATACTTTATCATATATCCTATCTTGTGATTCTGATGTTTCATATCTAATTTATCTTTTATTATAACTAATGAAAACTATAATTATAACTATCTGATCTTCAACTCCATCAAAGTTCCCAGAAGGATAGAAAAGTTCCTGAGTAAGCAGGAAGTTCATTGCAAGCAATTTTCAAACTCTATAATTGACAGAGATATCTGAGTGTGTAAACATTCACCCGAATGTTGGGTATTTAATGTTGGTTTCCAGTCTTCAGCCTACAGGCCTATAGTATCTGGCAGACTTTTCAGTGAAGCAGGAAATCCCACCAATGTTGGCAAAGTTCATGAGTCACTTTTCTCTGTGTCCTGCAGTCGGCAGTTTCTTCTGTGAAACAGGAACCTGAAGGATCATCCTGCCTAACTTTGCCAAAGTTTAGTGGTCATTTTTCTGTGGGTCCTGCATGTCCACTTTATACAGTATACTGCCAATAAGTCAGGCAAAAGCAGTTTCTTGCCCAAATGGTTACCCTTGCCACATTGAAAGCAAATTTTATAAGGAGTTTCTTCAATTTCTATCATCCTCTTGAAATAATTAGTGCTACTAGGGGCAGATATATATCTGTTGGGTCAAAATTATCTCATGGCCTGTATCTTGAGGCCTTTAGGATAGAAAAAAGCCTGGCTTGTGTTCAGGGCTTAGACTTCATGGCCTGTAGAACAGAGAAAAGCCTTGCTCGAGTTTGAGTGAGGATGAGGCAGCAAAAACTAGGTAGATGCCCCTCCAGCAAGAGGGAGGGTTTGGCTGCGTCTCTTCCGCTGGAGGTACCCCCATAACACATCATGTCACTCAACCTTTATAAACTGATGCTCACAGTAATAAACTGAGTTCCTGCTTTACTCTACTCCCTATTGTATCTGAGTGTCCTGTCTCATGGGGCTATGGAACAAGCATCCTACATTGTGGGGCTGGGGAATGGGCAGATAGCACACTCACCTTTCTCTGAAAAATAAGGAGACCTAGCAATGGCTAGGGGAATATGGAGGCTCGAGAAGCCTTGCAACTAAAAGCTCAAGAAGTCAACATGTATCTGTTGAGAAAAGTCACAGTTTTCAAATATTTTATGTGCCAAATTCTGCAGGTCTTTGAAGTGTTTGAAGATTACCTACCTAATTGAAATAGATCATTGTATACCTAGAAAAACTAATATGACTATGAATTTGAATATTATAGATGACTAACTATTAATCTGTATTTTTAGTTATTTATTACATTTTTAATTGAGCTACATACACATAATACCTTAAAGAAGAATAGAAATACATATGCAGTAAAACAAAATTAACTTTACATTTGCATCAATAAACTAAAATCATACCAATGTAAAATTTTTGGAGATTAGAAATGTTTTGCAATTATAGTAGATTCAATAATCTATTCTTTTTTCCATCATTTCTATATCATATCCCCTTTCTTCTGTTAAAAGAAATTGACTATGAACAATAAAAATTCATAACCAAGCCCCTTTTAAAGAAAAAAACTTTTATAAAGTAGAGTTTGGGAATTTGGGCATAGTTTTCTAGATTACTTTCTGGTGATTGTTGGGCACTGCTAATCTTATAGGGACTCTGAGAAAATTTGAGATCAAGGCCAAATCTTGGGAAGATCAGTTATAACCTTTGAAGGAGGATGTCATCAGTCAAAGTTCAGGAGGAGTCCCTTTATCAAATCTGGTCCATGTTAACCTGGAAACAATCCATAGCGTCTTGTTTCCTGTGGGAAATCATTTTACCAAGCAATACATACTTTAAGTTCCCAATACAAATGCATTTTGGACTTCTGTTTTAGAGTTAAAGCATTTTAAAAATATTTAGGTCCATGTATTTTATCAGTCTCTCTTTCAGTTTCATGTCTCTCCGCACCTGTTGTGCCATAGGAACTCCTTCAGCCTGCAGCATTTAAGTTACCAGCCTACTTGGGCATGGCCTCTTATACTACAAGTCCCAATGTAAAGCGTGTGTTCCCTCTCCCTTCCAGCTACAGTTTCCATGTAATTATTTTGGGTAAAGCTAGCCAGGAGCCGGGTGGTGGGAATGCGGCCTGCCGCTCGCTCCTTCTACAGTTTTTAAAGACTTTATCATATTATTTTAAGCTATTTATTCCTTTCTATAACTTTTGGTCTCCTTTTTATTTTTTTTCTTAAGGCTATACACACTGTAAACAAATTAGAACCTGGTTAGGAGGTATTCTGTTTGGCTCCTTTTTTTATTTTGTATCTTTCAGTGTGTTTTGTTGTATAAGCTAATGTTAAATCCTACACATAGTGTATGATTGATTATCCTTTTATATTGAGGCCTGTGTGAGACTAGGGAAACTGATTACAAAGCTAATCTCATGGCAACTGGTGGCCAGCTCCATCTAGCAGGCAGGCTTAAGGGGACACATCTCCTTCTGTGCTGCTGCTAGCATGAGACTGTAAGACTAGAAAGTCCAGTGTGGCTCCAGTTCTGTGCATTCAGAACCTTTTTCAAAATTTCTTGGGTCTTATGTGGAAGTAAGTGCACCATGTTTAAGTGCTGAAGCAAGAGGTTAATACTAGGTGTCATTAGGTTTTCTCCTTAATACATCTACCCTACTTTTTGTGGCAGGGTTGTTTTTTTTTTTTTTTTTTTTTCCTGGAGCCTCGCGATTATTCCAGACTGGCAGGACAGAAAGGCTCCAGGTCCACCTATCTTTACCTTCCTATTGCTGGGATTATAGGTGCCTGGCTTTTTCTGGTCACTATTGTGTATCTGTACTTAGGTTGACAAGTTCTTCATTCACCTAACCATCTCTCAGTCCTGATGTCTGATGTTTGAAGCCAAGAGAAGATGGGTGTCTTAGCTCCAAAAGAGGAAAAAGAGACGATCTTCATCTTTGTTATAATTTTTTTTTTATTTCAAGTACTGAGCAGATGTGACAGTGCTCAGATATTTTGGGTGAGGGTGAAATTTCCTTACACTTTATACTGATATAAAGGCTACTTCCATCTGGTTGCAATCTCACACATGGTCAGGAATAAGACCTTCCCACCTATTTAGTATCCCTTAATATAGTGAAGTTGACATTGAAAGTAACCATCACATTAATGAATGGGAAAGTATGGGAAAGTAGATGGACTGAAGATTTGCTGTGAAGAACAATGCAGCCCCTGTTCTCACATTATTTCTCCTGTTTTGTGGTTTCATCTGTGTGACTGTGAAGCCAGCCTGAGTATATGAGAAGGCAATGTTTACATTCAGACGTAGGTAACGACATAGACACAGACACAATGCTGCAAAGCAGAACTCCAGGCGGTATTCCTCTGCATGCTTTGGTTGTACTGAAGCAGATTCCCTCTGTTTGAGGATGCACTGGAAAACTTCACTACAGCTGTTAAGTTTTCAACTAGGATGTGAAGATAACCATGTGGGACAATGCGCTCCTTCCTCTTGGGTAGATTTACAAGTGACAGAACTGGAAGCTGTCTTGTGCTTGCACTTGGGAGGAGGATGGTGTAACGCGTCCATTCTGCTTCATGATGCTCATTCAGAACCGTGTGTTCAGTCTTAACTGTTTTGTCTTCTGGTAAAGTCCTGACTTTAGGCCATGAGCACATTTTCATGACTTTGTGACTAGTGAGAGGCCTTGAGGAAAATTCTTAGGTGTTTTTCTGAAAAACTAGTTTATGATTGTCATATTGGAGATTTTGAAACTGGAACCTGGCTTAATGAGTAACAGATATGGCAATAGGATCCAAGTAGAGAAATGACAAAGAAAACAGCCTTGTAAGTTAGTGAACAGGCCTGTAAAATATTCATGGTGCATGTCACTTCAACATGCTGTCATTGACAGGATCACTTCAAGATACTCTCATTGACAGGATTTCTTAAACTCCCTTCAATCACAGTTTAGAGAGTTGTGTTGGAGCAGTAAAGAGGATATTGGGGTTAAAGTACAAATTAAATATTAACTCATCTTCTATTCATCTATCAACTCTGATTAAGGTGGGTGAAACAGAATGTCCTATTGGAAGGGAGCTGCAGAGACAAGGTAAAGAGCAAGAGGGCAATTGAAGACCTGAAAAAGACCTCCTCTTTTTAAAAATCTCATTTCAGGGCCAAAGGGAGTGCTTTGTGACAGAGGTCCCAGGGATCCTTATGGATAGTATACCTGTGTTCTGTGAGTTCTACAGATGGCTGAGCATCGGATTTGGCTTCTAGTGAGTTTATTTCTCGCCAAGGTTCTTTTCTTGGAGGCTTCAAAAATATTGACTATGGGTGCAATGGGTGAGTACCTGCTAGAAATATAGAGTCTTGTAAGATCAAGATTCTTGGGATGACATGTCTCATAAAAATAGCACATAGTGGATTATATTTGCATTAGATATAACTAGGCTGAGATCAAATCTGAGGGAAGTCATATGGAGTGAGCAATGTGTTGCTTAGTAGGGACTGTACCAAAGGGTGAGTGTAAATATTACATTGAAATAGCATCTGATGTAGAAACAGCAGCAGTAAACTGAGCGGTGTATTGTAAAGAAGACAAGAAAGGTTTCTCTACTGGGACTTTAGGTTGTGAGTAGACAGAAGGCATATTTGTCAAAGTGATCAGTCTATTCCTCCAAAATAAGAAGCAGTGCCCATTTCCAGATTTTTTTGGGGGGCAGGGAAGGCTAATATATTTGATTTCAAAAGAAGTTCTCTTTCATCTGTATAAGTAACCCAGTCACTGAAGTTTGCATATCACCAGGCCACCATATTATTCATGGAAATGTTATGCTACTCTGAACAGCACAAATGTTCTGGCTCTATTGTTTGTAATGGGGCTCATGATAATTTGTAGGACTCAGGGACATGATCACCAATAAAAGTAACGTTTGG